TGAGTCGTGAGGGGTGAGAGTGAGTGAGTCGTGAGGGGGGAGAGAGAGTGAGTCGTGAGGGGTGAGAGTGAGTGAGTCGTGAGGGGTGTGAGTGAGTGAGTCGTGAGGGGTGAGAGTGAGTGAGTCGTGAGGGGGGAGAGTGAGTGAGTCGTGAGGGGGGAGAGTGAGTGAGTCGTGAGGGGGGAGAGTGAGTGAGTCGTGAGGGGGGAGAGTGAGTGAGTCGTGAGGGGTGAGGGTGAGTGAGTCGTGATGGGTGTGAGTGAGTGAGGGGTGAGGGTGAGTGAGGGGTGAGAGTGAGTGAGTCGTGAGGGGGGAGAGAGAGTGAGTCGTGAGGGGTGAGAGTGAGTGAGTCGTGAGGGGTGTGAGTGAGTGAGTCGTGAGGGGTGAGAGTGAGTGAGTCGTGAGGGGTGAGAGTGAGTGAGTCGTGAGGGGTGTGAGTGAGTGAGTCGTGAGGGGTGAGAGTGAGTGAGTCGTGATGGGTGAGGGTGAGTGAGGGGTGAGGGTGAGTGAGGGGTGAGTGTGAGTGAGGGGTAAGTGTGAGTCGTGAGGGGTGAGAGTGAGTGAGTCGTGAGGGGTGAGTGTGAGTGAGTCGTGAGGGATGAGAGAGAATCAAGAGGGATGAGAGAGAGAGAGAGTCGCGAGGGAGGAGAGTGAGTGAGTCATGAGGGGTGAGTGTGAAATTTTTGTATTTGTTTACGCGGGCGCATGCACTCACGCAAACGGAAAACAAACAAACGTGCAAACATGTAAAAACAAACATACAAATAAATTTACCCAATCTTATGTTATTGTATTGTAGTATTGTAGTCTTATTATTTGTCATATTAAAAAAATATATTTCCAATAATACCCAATCGATCTTATCATCATTTTAATTATCGTCAGGATCAGTCTTACCTATTCTCAATTTATATCTGTCTTATATTATTATCTTTCTTGTGTTATATTATCATTCTATTACATCTATCTGAAAGTCTATTACATCTATCCTAGTTTACATAATATCCATTTTTTTCCATATCATATCATGTATCATCAATCATACCCACTCAATCCTATCACCATTTAAATTATCATTACCATCAAAGATACTCATATTTTTATCACATTACACTATCTCGATCCGAACTCATTTAATACCAATATTACCCAACACAATATTAATAAACAAAATCACCCTTATCTTTACCTTCCCTGAAAACTCCCAAATACCTGACTTTCTATTCCCACCAGTACGATACTGTCCTTACTGGGAACACCTCCGGGAGGCGTGGCAGAGGAGGAACCACCCAAACCTCCACTTCATCTTCTTTGAGGACCTGAAGAAGGATTCCGTGGGAGAATACAGGAAACTTGACGAGTTTTTGGGATCCAAGCTGAGTGAGGCGCAGCTGGCTCGTGTGAGTGGGTTTTTGTTGTTGCTGTTGTTTTACTGCTACTATTACTTATAACTACTTCCACTTTTACTACTGTCATCACCATTATTATTATCATTATCATCATCTTCACCTGCATCATCATGATCATCATCATTATCACTGTCGTTTCAACACACACACACACTCACACACATATATATATGTGTGTGTGTGTGTGTGTGTGTGTACATACTTGTGTGTGTATGTATGTTAGAAATATCCTTCTCTCTCCCTCTCTTCATCCTGCCATCCTCCCATTCCCCCAGTTATCCTGTATCATCCCCGTCTTCCTACAGATTATGGAACACACCAGCTTCTCGAGCATGAAGGCGCGCGACGAGGCCCTCGGGAAGAGCGACCAGATCATCTCGGAAGGAAGTTTCTTCAGATCCGGTGAGGATGGACATGCACACACGCACGCACGGACGCCCACGCATGCACACTTACTCCCACACACAGACAAACACAGACTAGCAGACACACACACACAGACACACACAGACACACACACGCACACACATATAAGCACACACGCACACACGCGCACGCGCACACACACACACGCACGCACACGCACACACACACACACACGCGCACACATACATACACACACACACACACACACAAGCACACACACACACACACACACACAAATCGCAGACATGCGAGTGTGTATACATTCCTGAATACGCGACTTTGCATATGCTGGGTAAGTCTAACCTAAATACAATAGTGGCTAGAGAACCACCAACAATGATAACCTAACCAACTACTTCCCGGTTAGCCATCCTAGTATAAAGACCCAGTCAACTGCATGATGTCAACATGGTGCCAAGTAGTTCGTCAAACAACATATCAATGATAACAAATATTGAATATATATGTATATACATAGGCCTACCGTCTTAAGCATATTTTTCTTTTCTCTCTCTCTAAACAGGTCAGACCGGGAGTTGGAAGCAGAAACTCACCCATGATTTGGAAAGTAAAATTGATACTTGGACTAAAGAAAATGTTGCAGATTTTGGGAGCGACTTTAAATATTTCATATCGTAAGTTTTAAACGGTACTGGTAGAAATAGATTATACAGTGATATTACTCATTATATGAGATGATGTGCTATAGTTGGGTAACGAAAAATGATAATATATCTATATTTGTATAGTTCTTGAGAATTATTTTTATGAATTTCATTTGTTTTTTGTTGTGCTTTCCCTCACATACTCAGGAGAAATGGTAATAAATGTATATATTTCAAAAATGGTTGTTTGAGTTTCCAATATTTCATCCTTTATGTATAAAAATTACAAAATTGGAAAAAATGTCTCTCTTGGTGCATGCATGCGTGTGTGTGTACTCGCTCAAAAAAAAATTTTTACTCTTTCTGACTTGACAACGAAAACTGTTGGAAAAAGTGCCGTGAGCTCGACCTGAGAGGGGCGTTATTTGGGAGGGGGCAGGGATTTGTCCTAAACTGTTTGCCCCCCCCCCTCCGCAAATAACCACAATCAATAACCTTTTTGTTTACTAATTACACGCTGGCAAGACTACGTGTATGGATGCCCCAGCCGCCGCCATTAACTGGAGTCCATGAGCAGAGCGCAATCACTCCTATGCCGTAATTGCGTAGACAACGACGATTTGACGATTGCGGGTATGATCTTGGGGGGGGGGGGGTCTCTGCCCATGGCTGCCCAAACAATCTCAATGAGACAGAGCTGGCGATTTGGGTGGATGTGGCACAGCGTAATCTCGGAGTTTTGCTGAAATCACGTCTTCACGACACTGCTCGTGTGGAGGGCGTTATCCTGGACCAGGGAAAATAGCTCCGGTCTTAGCCAGATCAACTCCTATTCGAACATATTATGAAGCTTCATCTGTTTTGAGCTTTGAAAACAACAAATACCAACATTTCCGAATCAACCCCTGGCGATCGTTTCATCAACTCCTGCGCAAAAATACTTTTTTTTTTTGACTGTAGGTATACTTATACACACACACGTGTGTGTGTGTGTGTATGTATTGATATGCATATATATATATATATATATATATATATATATATATATATATATATATATATATATATATATATATATATATATATATATATAATGTATATGTATACAAATATAGACATATATATGTAAATATAGGTATATATATGTTAATATACACATATATATGTAAATATAGACATACATATGTAAATATAGACATACATATGTAAATATAGACATACATAGGCATATATATACATATATATGCATACATATGAATATATATACATATGTATGATTTATATATACATATATATGTAAATATATGCCTATGTATGTCTATATTTACATATATATACATGTATATATATGTGTACATATATCTGTATATATATATATATATATATATATATATATATATATATATATATATATATATATATATATATATATATCTGTATATAAATGTATACATAAATATGTATGAATATATACATATATGTGTATATACATATATATGTATACATGTATATATATGTATACATACATAGGTATATATACATATATGTGTACATGTATATGTATATATATGCATATATATATATATATGTATATCTGTAATATATGAATATGTATACATATTATATATGTGTATGTATATATTTACGTATATATACACATATATATGTATACATATATGTGTACATGTATGTGTGCATGAGAGAGAGAGTATGTATGTATGTATGTACACGTATATGTATGTATGTATGTATGTATGTGTGTGTGTGTGTGTGTGTGTGTGTGTGTGTGTGTGTGTGTGTGTGTGTGTGTGTGTGTGTGTGTGTGTGTGTGTGTGTGTGTGTGTGCATGTGCGCGTGTAAATAAAGACACACATATACATGTACGTACATACATACATACATATATAAATGGTAAAACACTCTACCAAGTTGATACTATGGTAGAAAAAACTCGCAATGCACAAACTAAATTTACTGAAAATCCTCCTGAATTTCATCTCCTGGTCCAAAGAGGAGAGGGAGAGGAGTAGAAAAGAGAAAAAGGAGAGGCAACACGGTGAACATGAGGAAGGTGAGGACAGGTGAACGGAAGCGAAGGGAAGTCAGATCAGGTCGAAGGACCAGGCAGTTAATGTAAAAGATGGCCCGGCATAAGGGAGAAGGAGGAGGATGTGGGATGCGAGGAGATTGTTGGCAGGAGAAAAGCTGCTGTTCAAGTTGAAATTAGGCAACAGCTTGATTAAGGATGATTCCACCAGTCTGTGGCATGGACATCGGCAGAAGGGAAGACAATTTGCACAACTGACCAATCCATGTAATGGCCTGTGTCCCTGTGAGACTGGTGCCTGTCTCACCATAATACTACTTATTATTCTGCAATATTCTGTAGTGGGTTTCATATTATTGATATTATTATTTTTACTTTTGCTATCAACATTTACATTTCTTTATATTAGTTTTTATAAACAATAATACTTCTCATTATATTCTATTTTAGTATCACAATCATCATCATTAACACGTTCCAATAATTTATCAGACATATAAATGTAACATGAAAAATAAATGATGTACACAAAGAAGAAATTAACATCTTGTGACATAGCAAACCATTTATGTACAGAACTGGCTAAATGTTGTTCAATTCCAGTTATTATTTCAATCACAATCGCCTGTGAATTATAATCTGTGTGAACTATGACCTTATATACTAATGTCCACTCTTATCTAGCTGAACTAAAGCCACCAACTTTTAGCTGAAAAATATTTGAAGAGAATTGCACAGCCTGAAATGTTGCAGGAAGTCATCTGAATATAAGACATTAATCCACTGTTGATGGGGTGGCAAGAATATATACCTTGTCTATGTCTTTTTGTTTATTGTCTTTAAACACAGAGGTTTCCACAAATGCTTAAATACTAAGGAGTCACTTACTAG